TCCTATCATTTTGATATTATTTCATAGGAAAGGAAGATAACAACTGGAAGAGAAAAATCAAGGAATTCGCTTGCATTCTTCTGAACGGAGACAATAGCATTGTTTCCTGTTCAGTTGACATATATAGATTATGGCATTCACTGCTGAAATCTGAACATGAAAATGGTAGATTCAAGATCAATTAATGACAACATCCTGTAACTCATTTTGTAGACTAAAATCACTCATTCATATGCCAACATCAGTATGACACTGAGAAGTGTCAAACTATAAGCAGAGCACAACTTCCAAAGAAAAATATTTTGCATTTTCATGTTGAGAACCGGAGCAGATTCGTTCCCAAAATGTCCAAAGATAACAAAGTGTCACTGACAAGCTACTGGATTTTTCTTTCAGGCTCCCTGATGGAAAAATTTGTTAAATGCAGTGACATTTTGGGGCAAATCATCTGATTTGTTCCACTACAAATACAGGGTGTTTCATAATTGAATGCTGATCCTAAGAATAGAATAGAATAGATGTTTATTTAGCTCATTAGCTATTACATAACATATAATTTACAATAAATACTATTTTAAGAACATACAATGTTATTGATTATTGAAGTACATTTGCCTTAATCTAGTTCTGAATAATTTGACATTTGGTGATGTTTTCACTATTATTGGTAAGCCATTATACACCTTCAAACCATCGATAAATAGTGTTTTCTCCATAGCACTAGTCTTGAACTTTTGTATTTGGTAATGATCCGCAGATCTCAGATTATATTCTACCAACTCAGATCTTTTGACAAGATAATCTCTTAAATATACAGGAGCTTGCTTATTTACAATCTTATATAATAACACTAAGTATGACTCGGTAATAAGTTGACGAACATTCAAGAAATTCAGAGTTTCTAACATAGAGATTATCGGAGTATATCTATTGCATTTCAGAATAACTCTCATTGCTTTGTTTTGGAGTAATTGCAGCCGATGAATATGTACATCTGAACAAGAAATAAGTATTGACATACAATAATTGAAATGTGGAAATATAATTGTATTGTACACAATTTTTCTGCACCATAAGGAAAGGTTTCTACAAACTCTATAGAAATACCCGACTTTTTTGCCAATTTTTTTACATAGATAATCAATATGTTTGGAAAAATTCAGTTGAGGGTCAAAAATGATACCAAGATATTTTATTTCATTTACATAACTAATTATAGTATTATCTATTTCAATAACAAGGTTACATTGATCAAATTTAGCCACATTACTCTTACTACCTAGGATCAAACATTTAGTTTTCATATTATTCAATTTGAGTTTATTTGCCATTAGCCATTCATTTAAAATGCACAATTCATTATTCATCACTTGAACTATTTCTTCAAAGTTTTTTCCAGATACAGAAATCAATGTGTCGTCCGCAAAGAGGTTAACGAATGACTGTTGTAAATACAGATTTATATCATTGATATATAAAATGAATAGCAATGGCCCCAGGACTCTTCCTTGCGGAACACCATACAAATTACCAATTTCAACACTATAATCACCATTGATTTTCGTTTTTTGACATCTACCATCGAGATAGTTTTCCAACCATTTCAATACACCTCCTGCTATTCCGTAATTTTTACATTTATATAATAATTTTTGCCTATCTATTGTTTCAAACGCTCTTTTCAGATCTATAAATACACTAATAACGATGTTTCCATCATCTATATCCTTTTTCCACATATTGCATACTAACTGACATGCGGACTCTGTTGAATGATTGCACCTAAATCCCGATTGATTTACATACAGTATATTTTGTTTATTCAAATAGTCACTCAAGTGTTCATGTACTAAGATTTCAATGATTTTTTCAATGACTGGAAGTAAATTTATTGGTCGTAGATCTTCAGGTTTAACTGGTTTACTAATTTTTGGAACTGGTATTATGGTGCTGCATTTCAATACCGATGGCAATACTCCTGTTTGCAGACAGGTATTAATTAAGTTCAATAAGGGATATCCAACAACTGAAAATATATTTTTTATCAACGATACTGTTAGTACTTCATCACCGGTAGCTTTA